AATCGGGGAATGGCTGAACAAGTTGTGGTATATGATTGTGATGAAATACTATATGTAGTATTTCCATATATATACTTATATATCTATATATTTTTCTATTTCTAGAAGAAAAGACAAGGAGATGGTTTCAGAAAAACCTGGTAAGACTTATATGAACTCATGCAAAATGAAGTGAGAAAAACTAGGAGAACATTGTACACAATAACACCAACAGTGTAATGATTACCAACTGCAAGACTCAGCTTCTCTGATTAAGACAATGATCTAAGATGATTCCAGAGGACCCACGATAAAAAATGCTATCCACCTCCAGAAAGAGAACTAATGAACTCTGAATACACACTGAAGCTTACTTTTTTTACTTTGTTTTTATTGTTTTATTTTGTTTGTGTTTTCTTTTGCAACATAGCTAATACAGAAATACATTTTGCATGATCTCATGTGTATAATCAAAATCAAATTGCTTGCCTTTTCAGAGAGGAGGGGAAGGATGGGACAGAGGGAGAAAATTTGGAACTCCAAATTTTAAAAAATGATTATGAAAAAAATTTTTACGTTAGGAAATATTTAACGAAATAAAAAATAAAACACCTCTTAATTTACAGAGCCTGAAGACCATTTTAGCTGATATCAAAATCTTTCCTCTGGTGGGCTCTCTTTACCTTCAATTGAATAGGGACAGATTGAAGCTGTTTTTGTGGATATTTCTGTCTTTGCAGCTGCAGATGCAGGCCTCTCTGCTTTGCATGATTTATGAAGATTTTTTTTTAAACGTGACTGCCTTCCTATAAAGAAGCTTTGTTCCCAGGGAATTTGTTCAAATAAAGACATCGCTATACATCAAAATTTATAGTAAGACCACTAGGTCCCCTGAGTGAGCATTTAGAAAAAAGTCTATTTTGGAGTGGGGGACCCCAAAAAGCATTTTAAAAGTATAAGTATACTTTAAAAGTTTAAGTTGAGATCCTCTAAAATAGAGCAGTATTTAATGCTGGCCCCATCTTGCTCTCAAAAGCTAACTCAAATCAGGTTGCTGATGCTAGAAAATGAGATGTGGTCTTGAGGATACAGTGGTTAAATTAGCATTCTTTTATTTTTGCTGAGCAGATGGGGCACAGAGATGGAGAGTGGAAGCCCGCCTTTTGTAGAAGGCAGCACAATTAAGTCAAAAGACAAACACAAGTGGGAAAACAGTTAATAAGGACAAAGTTACTCCAGGGAAATATTGCTGCATTTGGGTCGCTGTGACCCATCTAAAGAAAACACAGAGGAAACAAGTTACCTATGAATATTTCAGAAGCCACCAAATCCCACTCGAGCATTCAAATCAGCTAAGACTCAAGGGGCACAATGCCAAGTTTGTAATGCTTGCCACTGCATGGGAGTGGCTGAGTAAAACTTCCTCACTTGTGCTCCCCCACAGAAGGTTGCCGGATGATATTTAGTTTGCTGGGAGATGCGGGGGTGTGCAGGAGTAGGAGAGAACTATGCAGGGTCATGGTTTCTGGGGTAGCAGCTGTTATTCCTCTTGAAATGATCAGGAGGTTGGTTGTGTGACAGCTGATATAGCTGTTTCATCCTCTTTCACGTTGGGTCATTCTTCATATTAATCTAAATGAATCAGTAACCTTAGTTCCTATTTTTGTGTTAAACACCTCTTAGGTGTTACACAATGGCTACATCCTTCTAGGATAAGGATGAAGTGCTTCCCTCTGTGTGGGGAGGACTGGTTTGGGATATGAAGATATAGGGAAGCATGATTATTTTATTTTTGTTCTAATTTCGGTTTCAGATGGAGAAACTGAGGAATTGTACATTCTTCCCCCCCCCATATTACATATAGCATTTTTGCAGAGCCATTCTCTGACTTCTAGTCCAGTCTAGTATGCCATAATAAGAATACTACAAGATAGGGAGGTTGCCATGAACTAAGGGTAAATCTTATCAGTAATGATGAGGAATAGTTGATATTGCTTTCCATCTGGAAGCATGAGATCCTTATGATTCAGAGCTGCCAAAGGCAGGAAGTCCAGAGTCACATTGGGATTTAGCTGTGGAATTGACATTAAGGTTAACAGAAATTGAAAAGCTGAATTGCCCCCAAGTAATTTAAGACTGTTGGTTGAGGGGTTTAGAGGACGAGAAGGATGAAATGGCGATCACTGACAGACTTTCAAGAAAATGTCTCTTCAGTCAGGGTTCTGTGAACCTCCTAGATTAGGGATTCTTAGGCTGGGGTGGGGTCTGTAAACTTAATTTTCATAAAACATATTTTCTGTGTACTCTTATGTATTTTATGCATTAAAAACTTTATTCTGAGTAGGGGTCCATCCATTACATTAAACTACTAAAGGGGTGCATGACACAAAAAAAGGTTAAAATCCCAGTAGATGCACAATCAAGACCCATAACTTTTCCAACCACGAAGAATTTCACTGGGACAGGAGGCAGATCCTCACACTATTTTCTACTGCAAGCCTATGAATGGTCATTAAGTTTTGTGTGTGCCTCCGCGTACACACATGCGTGGGTGCATATGACTTGCACTGGGATCTGATGAAGAACCAGAGGGCAAAGAGAGGCATATTAAGCATGTCTGCCTGAAGAATCATGGTTAGTCTCAGTGGAGTCATCACGCAGCTCTTGGTTCAATCATCAATAATGTTCTAATTAGAACAAAAATAAAATAACTCAAAAAAAAAATGGTCCCATAGGGCAGTGAAGTGAAAGATTTAACCATTCACCTTCAGAGACTAATGTTTCATTTTTAACAAACATGGGTATGGGGTAGACCTGAGATTTCTCTGGGTTGGGGTCCTATCAATGCTGGCTGGCACCTTCTCAACAAATTGATTGCCTAAGGTCATCAGTCGGCAGGACTTGAACCAAGATCTTCTTGGTTCTGAGACTGTTCTCTAAACATTACATTGCTTCATTTTTGATAAAAATTTAAAAAGTGGGTCATGGTATTAATATTAGTTCAGATGACAGAACGTACCTATCTCTTAAAACAAAACAAAACAAAACAAAACAAAAAACCCTCAGCTGTGCCTTCTTGGAAACTTGCACTTTTCTAATATATAGGCCTAAGAGGCAGTCACTTGTCCAGGCTGCAGGTTCCTGTGCATTTTTGGGAGGTTTGGAGGCCTATGGAAATGCAAGTATTCCTTAGCTTTCAGAGAGCTGGGTGAGCATGCCCCCAAGATAAATCTTTATAGGACTTCCTTCCACTGGTTAAACAAACCTGAACTTCTACAGACTGGAGAAGGGGGTTATGGCTTTTGTATTCATTTCAGTTTTTTTTTTTTTTTAATGAGATCTTGCCTGACTTTTCATGAAGTTATAACTATAGCATATAATTGCTGCTTTGATTTTTTATGTCTCATTTTCCCAAAGTCTTTTGAAGCTTCAGTAAAGTAGGGTCACAGTCCTTGATTTCTATTTTAGTTTTAAATCACTCAACTTCTACTTAGTGCCTATCTGTGTTTTGTTCCAGTTGGTATCTTACAAGTATCTGTATAGGGGTTTAGAGCAGTTGAGTTCATAATATAAAACAGCGATTTACTTTTAGTTGTTTTCTAGCATCATAACCATGAATACTAGTTATTGTTCAGATCTGTGAGTAGATGGAAAGTAAGTTAAAATGGCTAATTTAAAAACCAAGACCACCGCCCCCTTCTGCCCACTCCCCTTACTTCACAATTTGAAAAGGAAGCTGTTCTTGTGACAGTTGTGGTTAAGCAATGATTTAAAAAAATTTTGATAAGTTATCCAATTACACAGGAAAATCCAACATAGAAGTTCTGCACATTAAATTAAGTTTACAGAAGAGGATTTGCATAGTTAAGATGGTATAAGGCCACATAGTGAATAAACTAGTGGTGATATCAAAAGTATTTCATGTGTTTAATTTTCAAAAGCTGGAAATAATTAAAAAGGAATAGTATCATTTTATTTTAGGAAAGATGAATGACACTGTTAATTTTATTATTTTCTCTTGAAACATGCCACAATCTAATATATGCAACAGGCTGGCATATCTATAAATACCTATATACATATTATAAGTATGTTTGTATAGTATGAATATACGTAAACACTTTGGGTCCCCACACTTCAGGCACAAATGCGTGGCTCTTCTTGGCTTCAATAAGAACCATGTGTGTACTCAGAGCAAAAATTGACCCTTACGGCTCAAATAGCATGTGCATTTCTCAAGAGGGTTATTCAGCATGGCGGCTGTTGTAAGGTTTATTCCCATACTCTTCTCTGTTATTTTGACTAGATGAAACACTCAGCTTCTAATTTTCTTTTGGAGATTCCCTTTCATTTTTTGCTTATTTTCCTTCAAATTCCAAGGGAGGCCCAAAAATGTGCTTTTGAGGTGAGCTGTACCAAAATCTATGTAACTGTGCTTTTTCTAGAGCAGGAAGTCAAGCTTAAGATTATCTTAAAGTTTCAAGATTGACTTTGAAACAATTATTTTTTCATATACACGGAAATATATATGCTCATACATGTCTCTACACCCACCCCAGAATGTGAAATCCTTTCTTTTTATCAAAGCTACAAATTATGTTTTCTTTTCTAGAAAAAAAAAGCAAAAAACAAAAACAAGATTTCTTGTATGATGGAAGAAGATAAACATATGGCCTTCCATATGGCCACACACTCCCACTTTCAGTAACTCTAGAAGTTATTGACCCAGCCTGCAAAGACTAACTTCTGCATTATTATTATAAACATTACAGTTATTTTAAGGTATTATGAGATCTCTGTGCAAACCCTTGGGGAAAAAATGACAAGAAAATGGCATGTCATAGGGCATAGCTAAACTGTATGACACAGTACTACAAAACAAAACAAAACAAACCACATCCTACAAGCTTCAAAATTTTGCCTCTCATCATTAAAATGGAAAGTTCATCTAGTTCAAAACTACAGAAGCATGGCTTTTCTACCATTACAGCCATTATTTTGATGTCGATTTCCTCACCTACCTTTTTCCTTTGGATGTTCACATCAAGTTTCATTGGGGCACACCTGTTCAATGTGTTGAGTCGTCTAAAAATAAAGCAAAACAACATTACCACAAACAGTACTGAGGGCAGAAAAAACCCCACAAAACTTCTTTTCACTTTGACAAGCTTCCAAAAGGGGTCCTTTCTTCCATGAGCATGCTTGTAACATCAGCAGACAGCAATCTGTGCTCTTTTTATACTGCCATGCTGGGACAGGCACTATTAAAAAATGTTGATAAATTAAACAGGCTTTTAAGTATTTCAACATGTTGTTTGGGAAAAGTGGTATTTTAGAGATGATCTTTAATTTTTAATGTTTTTTAGACATTTAACACTCACTCACAAACACACGATAGAGAAGAGAGTAGTTTATCACAGTCGCATTTTATTCACATTTTATCACAAGGGCCTGGATCGTTATAAGTTTGGCCAAAAAGTGCTTCCCATTATGGTGAGGAAAGGTTAGTTTTGGAAATTCTATCATTTTTTCAGTACCTTATGAGATGGAAGCTGTTCACTTGAATAACTTTAAATGATAGAAACAAAGAAAACACTTGGATTGAATTTATTTAGTCTTTAAATTATGTTGACTACTTTAGAGCCACTTGTTTTATTCATTCAATAAACACTTATTAAACATTTAACAAATGTAATACACCATTACTAGGTAGTGAGGAAGAGACAAAGATAAATATGGGCACAAAAGATAAATAGGGCACATGTTCCTACCCAGAAGAAACTTTTAATGTAGTAGGAGTAAGACAAGTAACTTGTTGGATGTAGATAAATAATAATAGATTACTATAGAAAACTATGGGTGTTGTGGGGGCCCAATAATCCAGATTATTTACTTTCTCTCTTTTCTCATTTCTACCAGAAGGTTCTCAGGGGAAATGAGATAGAAAACTAAAAACATTTAACTTTCCTTTTCTTTGTAACTCTGGTGACAAGTTTGATTAGGTGAGAAGCGAAACTATTGGTCAGAATGATGTTTTCCCATTATCTCTAGATTTCATTTATCTGTGTCATTCAATTTTCTTAGACTCTAATATTTAATATATCTGTGCTCTCATCAATTTTGAGTATTCCATCAGTGAAGATAGAAATCATCCAGATTTTCTCATCCTGAGCAATTTTTACTTAGGTCTTTGTAGAAATCTGTGTAGTGTATTAAAGACCTGCTTCTGGATATTTTAATATTTCATGGATACCAAGAGCAATATTTGGGCAGTTCATGAGTTGTCATCCCTTATCTTGATATATGAATAGCCCACCTTCTTTTTCAGATATAAATGTCCTTGATTATATCTTTTATGTTACTTCTTACGTATACGTCATCAATAGCTATATCTTAGAGTACAGTTAAACTCAAACATCTTTCCATTGTCCTTCAGATCATGTACTATTTGCATCCTTCCAATACTGTGGTGTTTCATGATTTATAGGTATAAAGCTCTACTGGGAATCACAATACAAACGTACTTTGGGAGCAGAGCTTGTGATCTCTGAAAGCTCTGTATAATTTCTCAAATGCAATTCAGCTCACCTCCCTGCTGTTCAATTCTGTAATTGGCTCTGTGAAGTATATATGCAAACTCTAATAAGGATTAGCTTAATGGCCTGCCCATATAGCTGCATATTATAAAGTTTGATGTAATTAGCACAATGTCATCATAAAACAGGAAGCATGTAGAAAAGACCTCAGTGAATCAGTACACTGTTGGTTAAGCTCTAAATTGTGAGAAAATCAAAGAAATACTGGAAAACTTAGAAGAACTGATACATAATGAAGGAAACAGAAACTGAAGAGAAATATATATATATATACACACACACACGCACACATATATATTATACACACACACAACGACTAAAATGATATAAAGGAATACAAAACCAAAATATATCAGAATTCAGATTATAGACACTATCTAATCTTGCTTCCAGATGAACTGATGATAAAATGTACTTAAATATTGTCAGTCATAGTCACTGTGTTACATTTGTTTTACTTGGGTTTTTTTGTTTTGTTTTAAGAGAGAGGGGGTCTTGGGGCAGCTAGATGGCGCAGTGGATAGAGCACTGGCCCTGTAGTCAGGAGGACCCAAGTTCAAATCCGACCTCAGACCAAACACTTGACACTTACTAGCTGTGTGACCCTGGGCAAGTCACTTAACCCCAATTGCCTAAAAAAAAAAAAAAAAAAAGAGGGGGGGGTCTTGCTGAGAACTGAGAGTGTTGTAAACATGCAAAAAAATCAATAAACCACTTAAAAATAAAGATAACTACTAAGCAACATCTAGGGTGAATCCCTTTTCCATTTGGACATTGGGCATGGTTGTGGTTTAAAGGGTATATATACCTCATAATACTAAAAAAATCAGAGGACCATTGAATAAAGTTCTTTCTGGTTGTATCGACCAAGGAATCTTGTATAATACTAACACGTGCTTGCTCAAGAAATCTTCAAGTCCGAGATATGCTCCATTGAATCAAATGCTTAAAACAACAACAACAACAACAACAACAAAAACAAAAACAAAAAAACAACCAATGCATATGTTCTACAAGGGGATGAACAAACTTTTACAGGCGATTTTCTAAAGAGGACTATACAGTCTTAGTGTTTTCTGCACCATTCAGTCACTTTTGTGAATAAGATATAGTCTGTTGTAAAGAATCACCTGCAAAAATCTACCTATTTCTTGAAAAATGTCCTCAAAATGTGTATGTATGAATATATAGATGTAGATAGATATGGAAAGATCTATATTTATAGATTGTAAAGATTTTCCAGAGATGAGAAATTAGGCACATGAACCAGTAGTTACTGATGCCCTCTTGGATATCTTATTTTGTAGTAACAGCATTCATGGTATACTCTTTCTTTTGGAATTTTCTCTACCATATCTTAAAAATTCATTTTTGATTGCTTTTAAAACTGAGTAGGCACCAGCACAGATTTCCTCTGTAATTCAATCTGGTATAGCTTTTCTTCCTGACTTCATTTTATTGAAATTCATTTCTATATCATTGTATAGTACATCGTGTACTGAGATGTCCAAAGATCGAGATTCCATGTCACTGAGAAAGAGGGTAGAGCTCTACAGAAGCACTAATAAATTTCTCTTATTTCATATCTATCTATTGTTCCCTTTCCAATTTTATGCATAAACATCTTTGGAATGATCTGGCTAATTTTTTTCAGGTTCATTTTCCTTTCCAGTTGGTTTTTGCCATTTTGTGAAATTACTCTGGTTATAATCTTTCATCATCTTATTCTGTAATATTTTGCAAATGATCTTATGTTCTAAATTCATGTTTCTCTTCACTGTCATTTCTCTCTGCTTGGCAACTATATTATGTTTTTAATGGCCAAGACATTTTTCTGGGTTCTTTTGGCCTCCTTGCTGTAATGACTGCTTTACATTGACTGAACCTCCCTGACAAACAGTGATAATGAAAATCAATGCCTTTGAGTTTACCTCTTTCCCATATTTTATAGGCCACAGATAATTTCAATAGGTTGTGCTGGAGCTGCTGTAATCATGTCTGATGATTATCTTAATCCTTTTTCCTAACCTGGTGTCAATTTTGATCTTTGTTTTAGCAATCAATGATTTGACTGAACACAGCTAATTCCGAAATGACACTTATGTTGGCAATGTGCCATTTTCTGAAAAGAAAGAGTCAATTTCAATTTTTTTTGGTGATGTTATTCAGGTATATGGATTTCCAGCAATTTTTGTAAAGTATCTATGATCCCAGATGTAAAGTTCTGCATTTTCTATCTTTCTTTCCTAATCCTGAATATTTTCCAACTATTCTTACAACTTCTTCATGTGACCACTTTTGCGTAGAGATCATCAAGGATTGACATATATTTTGACTCTGTTTTACAGAATCTTGTCAAGCTTATCATCAAATTTCTTTAGTGCTAAATCTTTGCAACAGATACTGGTCTACTTTTTGAAAATGTCTTCATCATGGTCCCCTTGCCTATACTCATCAGAAGCACAGCAAAGTGATATGACCAAGTGTCCTACAAAAAGATCTTTCTTGTTGCCCTTGGCATGTGATACAACCAATTCTATTAATTCCATTATTCTACTATCCCAGGATGAACTAGGAGCTATCTTGGTTTAACTAAATGGAATGACTGTCTTCTGTGAAGAACCAGCTCAGGTGTTACCTTCTTTGTGATGTCTTCTCTGATTGTTATTATTAATCACTAGTGTTCTCTTCCTCATTTTTTTCTTGCATTACACTTGTTTGCATACTGTTGCATCCTTCAGGAGAATGTAAGCATCCTGAAGGCTAATACTCTTTTTTTTTTTTAGGAGATATTTAATAAACACTCATTGAATTATTGAATTGAATGGAGTTTTCATTACATCTTCAGATTTCAGTTCTGGTAAGAATGGAAATGGTTTAGTTCCTTCCTATATTGTATCATTTAGTTGATCATAGGACAAAGATCTTATATTCTGAAACCAATGTCTGTAAGTGGCCTAAGAACTGTATAATTCTTAGCACCTTCTGTCCCCCTTATTATCATTTGCCACCAGAAGGAAATCAATAGAAATTGGATCCCATTTTGCAGATTATTTGTTTGGTCACAGTCAGATTTCATTAGCTAGTGGACAAATTATTAGTCATGATGAGGCTCTCCAAACTTGGCAGGTACCTGAGCGAGTTGTCATCAAATGATATAATAAAGGTAAAGTACTTTGCAAGTTTTAAAGGGCTTATGCCAGCTATTGTTATCTCCTTTTTTTGTGTGTGTGTGAAGTAATTGGGGTTAAGTGACTTGCCCAGAGTCATACAGCTAGTGAGTGTTATGTATATGTCTGGGGTCAAATTTGAACTCAGGTCCTCCTGACTTCAGGGCCGGTGCTCTATCCACCCGGCCACCTAGCTACCCCTCTTGTTATCTCTAACAAGACAGAATATAAACTCTTTAAAGGGGGAATTATCTTACTTTTGTCTTTTGTGCAAATGATAAATAGTGCATATAGTAGGTGCTTAATAAATGCTACCTGA